TTCACATATAAGAGCTTTATTGGGAACTTGGAAAAAGGTCACACAACAAATTTACCAAAAAACACCAGTATGGGCATCACCTATAGAGGCTTATACACACCCTTAATCTTATGACGAAAGAAATTTTTTTAAGATACCAAGATTTACTAAAAAAGGATTATGCATTAAGGTCTAACGAAGAGTTAGAGACACAGAATATTCACACAGACCGGTGAACAGAGCACAGCTGGAATCTAGATACAGGAAGGATAAAATAGAGGGTATATATCTAGAACCAACGACATTTGATAAACTCCTATTAGGTTCAAAAGATAAAATAATTAAGAAAATGTATAACTACCTGCTAGAAATTAAAATGCAAGATGAAATGGTTAAAGAGTGCATTATTAAGTGGGCACAAAACACAGGTCATAACTTGATATTGATCAATGGTTGCAAAGATGGCAAAAGAATATAAAGCTTACAAAATCGATCAGTTTTAAAGAAAATATTTACAAGATGTTTTATAGATGACACATGACTCCAGAAAAACTATTGAAAATATATACAGACATATCAAATTCCTGTTGGAAATGTGAAGCACATGTGGGAAGTTATTATCATATGTGGTGGACCTGCAGAGCAGCGAAACAAAATTGGAAAGAAGTGCATTAGGTATTTCAAGAAATATTGCTTTGTAAGGTCCCACTAACACCAGAACTGTTTTTATTGCCTATGATACCACATAATACAGATAAAGCAAAGAAAGCCATATCTACATATATAGTTATTGCAGCTAGAATTTTATATGCTAACAACTGGAAAAGTCCGATGGTACCGAAACAAGATCTTATAGAGAAGATAAGAGAAACGGCAGAAATGGACATATTATCAGAAGTAATGAAGGACTGTCCTTTGCAAAAGGCAATGGAAAGATGGGACTTATTTTACAAATTGTTAGAATCACCAAATAATGTTTGAATAACACAGAACAAAATGCGGATTAAAATCCAGATGGCAGAAAAGCAGAAATGGAATTTTGGGATGACAATGTGAATAGGATGGATGTTAATATATTTTTGTGTCTCCTCTTCCTCATAACCCCAATCCCTCTTCGCCTTATCTTTTGTATCCCAGACCCTATCCCAAGTTATTAAAAACAATAATAATAAGAAAAGGCAGCGGTCCCCAACCCCTGGTCCTCGGCCCAATGCTGGTCCTGGCGTGGGCCAGACCAGGTTGATAAGTCATAATCACCGAAAGGTAGACTTTGAGAGAAGAAAGAAAAAGGCCCTTAGTTTTTAGCTGCAATAGAAAAAGAAGGACAGTTTATTTATTTTATTTATTTATTGGACTTATATACTGCCCCATAGCGCTACAAGCACTCTCCCGGCGGTTTACAATTTTTTAATTATACAGGCTACACATTGCCCCCCCCAGCAAGCTGGGTACTCATTTTACCGACCTCGGAAGGATGGAAGGCTGAGTCAACCTTGAGCCGGCTACCTGGGATTTGAACCCCAGGTCGTGAGCACAGTTTTAGCTGCAGTACAGCGTTTTAACCACTGCGCCACGAGGCTCTTATTGTAAGAGAAGGGTTGGTTGAAGGTAGTGATGACACTGCAGTGAATGATTGGAATTTTCTTCATTTATACATGTAGGCCTTTCTAGCTGAGGGTTTCTTTGCATGATGAAGGACATTCATCAGGGAGTCAAAATCCTCCATGCTGCGAGATGAAGGGCAGTGAGATCTGGGTGGAGAATTTGATTTTTGTCTTCTGTAAGCAGATGAGGCAGGCGGGGCAGGTGATAAAATGTCGGATGACAGCTGGTGGAGAAGCATGGCTGTTGCGGCCACCACTGAGCTATCAGGATGGTATTGGGCCTCTCCTGTTGAAGGGGGACTACTACCTTTTGGAGGAGTGGGAATGGTGGAAAGAGGTAAGTGAGTGATTTGGGCCAACAGCCGATAAATGCATTGCTGTGGGAGTTCTTACCAACTCCTGCGTGGGAACAGTAATGTTTGCATTTCCTGTTTGTTTGGGAAGCAAAGAGGTCAATGGTGGGTGTTCCCAAACATGTGAACAGGGAGAGAAAGACAGTCTGGACTAGTTCCCACTTGTGGACTTGAGTTCCTTTGCAACTGGGCAAATCTGCCAGATTGTTGTCGTGACTGTGAGACAAATGTGTGCATTGCCATGAGACAGATGTGATGGGAGAGGCACCATTCCCACAGGTTGACAGCAAGACAAAAAGAGACTTGGGGAGTACCCCCTTGTTTGAGAATATAGTACATCGTGGTGGTGTTGTCTGTGACTATTTGGACCATCTTGTCAATGAGATGGTTTTTGAAAGCCTTGCAGGCTTTTATTACTGCTAAGAGTTCTAGCTTGTTGAAAAGGTCATCCCATCATTAAGTTTTGAGTGGAGCGCCACCATGAAAGCTGGGAGGTGAGTTCTGGATTGACCCTCAGTAGAGTATGTGGTGGGGGTCTGTCAGCGGGTTGAATAAGGCCAGAAATCATGCCTGAAGTGACCTCATTTTGAGGAAGACATGTTGGACCACAGCAGTCATGGAGGCCATAGTGCCTAAGACACGTTGGACTGTTAATATACAAGTGTATGAGGAGTGAAGGCATGGAATAAAGAAGTTAAATTGAGACATATTCTCAAAGGCTTTCATGGCCGGGATCTGATGGTTGTCGTCGGTTTTTCAGGCTCTTTGGCCATGTTCTGATGGTTGTTATTCCTGGCATTTCATCAGTGTGGCCGGCATCTTCAGATTCACCAGGGAAAAAGAAATAGAGGGCCAACTCCCGTTCTTAGATGTTATGGTCGTACGCAAAACTGACTTCCTATTGGGACACAAGGTCTACAGAAAACCCACCCACACAGACCGATACCTAAACAAAAACTCCAACCACCACCCACAACAGAAAAGAGGCATAATCAAAACACTGGTAGACCGGGCAAATCAGAACTGTGAAGCTCAGTTTCTCAGCAATGAACTCAACCATCTTAACTGGGCCCTACAGGCAAATGGCTACTCCAAAAATGAAATCACAAGAGCCATCAAACCAAGAAAACAACACCAAACTGAAGAGGAAAAACAGCCACCCACAAATAAAGTATTTCTGCCATACATCAAAAGGGGTCACAGACTGCATGGGGGAACTTTTGAAAAAACACAACCTACACACACTATTCAGACCCACCACAAAAATACAACAAATGTTATGGTCAGCAAAGGACAAAAGGGACCCCCTCACCACTGCAGAAGTGTACTGGATACCTTGCAGTTGTGGACAGGTATACAGTGGTGCCTCGCATAGCGAGGTTAATCCGTTCCGAATTAATCTTCGCTATGCAAAAACATCGCTGTAAGGATCAAAAAAAGCCACTGGAATGCATTAAACATCGTTTAATGCGTTCCAAATTGGCAGAAAACTCACCGTACAGTGATGTTTTCCGGGTCCGGCAGCCATTTTCGCGCCCTCAGTAAGTGAGGGGAGGGCGCAAAAACGCTGCGC